TATAATAAAAGGCAATAAAAGCCCAAAAAATATACTTAAAAAAAAAAAGAGCAGCTGTCATCAAATAGTTAAATTGCTTTGTTTGTGCCACGGCTGTCATCTAGCTGAATTTGTCCTTGTGCCTGTCCACAAACCGTGTTTTAGCTTTGCTTTTAGAGTTTTTACTTACCACTACTTATGAGATTGCACATGGATGTATATAGATATTTTACTGCTGATGCACTCTTTATGGCCCTAAATAAAACAAAACAGCAGCAGCATCAGGGGGGTTGGTGGGTGGGGGGTGTTGAGGTTGTTGATAACAGCTCTTATGTCCATGTACCTCTAATAGTTCCAAGGGGAGGAAACGTTTTATCATGACTATTATTCTGATTATTAGTATGACAAATTGAAAAAGTCTGCCTTTTTCATTAGAAAGGGGCCACTGAAGTGAAAGAATGTCTTTTGAGAAATATTGTACTAAAGACGCAACACTTTTGTATATGTATTTATCGTTGTGTTCCTGTAGCCTCGTAGTGGTTGTGCTTTCGCGGTGAAAGGGATTAGACTTTTGATTTGTGACAGCCAGTCTCGCAAACTGCATCCTGGAGTTTCTCCAAGGAAGTGCACAGCAAGATCTGAACCCAGTGCAACACTTAAAGTCTTTAAGATCTCAATAAATCTGATTTTATTTAAAGCGCTTTTAACAGCAGCTTGATTTAGACATGTTTAACTTGCAATATGATTAATTTAAAACATTTTTAACAGAATGTGTAATGCACAGTTATTCCTGCACACTATTAAATCATGCCCCGCAAGCCCAGTCTTAAGAGATGAGAATAATGTTCTGACTGGCTGGTAAATTCAGGATACAGTGACCTCTGCAGGTTCATGTGATAATAGAACAAAGCTGAAAGGGACTGAAGCACCTGAAACACTCAACGCTGTATTTCTGTGGGCACAGGGAATTTCTTGTTCAAGCAGGCACTAAGTGTAGAGATCAATGTACAGGCCTGTAATTTGGGAGTACTGCATATCAAAAACACATTGGCTGCTACATATGGCGCTCGAAAAGCAGCAACCTGCCCAGGAGAGTCACACACACACAGAGACCCTAACACATCCTTGTGTAAGGCTAAGAAGACTAACTGTAGTTGGTTTGTGTTAATAAGTGCTCCTCAGTTATCTATCCAAGGAGCGTTGTAGAGCTTCATCAACCGCCACTGCACTCATACCAGACATGCAAGTGTAACACTAGCTAATGAACACCTACTGTACCTGCAGAGCATGCTGAAAAACAACAATGGGATGTGTTAGGTAGACTTACTATGTCATTTGCAGAACCTCCTCATTGTTTTTTTGTGGTTTTATTTTATTTTTATTTCATTAATTTGAATTTTATTTTTGGTTTGGAAAAAAAGTGTTTATTGTGATTACTTGTTCATTAGTGATGTGATTGTTGAACATGAAATAAAATGGACTAAAACTCTCATTTGTGTTTCACTTTGTGTTTTAGACCATAAGTGTTTTCAGTGGGCTGATTTCAGGTTGAAGTTGGGCAGAGTTAACTCCATATTCTCAGGAGATGATTGTATTTCCCTAAATCATTGAGGAAATCAACGGCCCTTGACTCAGTGACATATTTTAAGGATATTTTATTATATATGTTTGTGTTAAAGGGGTGATTTGGATGAATTTTGAACAGATTATTTCCTGTTTAGGGAACTTTTATACAATTCTGTGTCAGTATTATGTATTTTTTATGGTTTTTAACAATCATACAGACTTAATCGGCTTCTTTTTTTGACATATTCAGTGTTTTCTTGTCTCTGACACTTTGCCATTGTTCTATTAGACACTTTACATTTACTTCACAGAAGTGAACCAAATGCTGAAATATAGGCGTACTGTGTGTAAAATCAAGAAGGCCTCGCAACTGCCCATGTGGGAGTCCCTACCCCCAGGTTGGGAATCACTGATCTAGAGTGGTCTACAAATGCCACCCAGCTACCACCAACTAGATTAATAAAAAATAAAAAAGATGTGTTTTCCATATGTTTGGAAAATGTTTGAACATCTTATTAAAAGTTCATTGATTTCTAATAACACCTTTAGAGTTCTATTCAATGCTTTACTACGCTTATGCTTTGCCACAATAATGTTTTTGATTTCAAATGTCTTCATTTTTGGCGTTTTCCAAGCAATTATTGATATATGTGACTGTCTGCGATCAAATCAGCATATATTTATGCTTTTCCTTAAAGTCTCCATGCCACCTTCTCAACAGCCCATGAATATTTCTCTAGATCTG